ATTTCTATTACAGGGGTATTTTGGTCATTTTATAGATTCAGTGTATTTTAATCCTTTTATTCCGTCTGATCTTACTATTAAATTCAATCTTATTATTTATTTTAGTCATTTCGAACAATTCTGACAGCAGAATACCCTAATAAATTATTCTTCAAGTATTTACTCATTACTCGGATATTTTCGGGTCAAGTGCCTTCTCAGATTTTTACCAACGGAATATCAAGAATTTTTCTGTTATAAGTCAGGATCTTAACAATCAAATTCGTACTTAATCAAGTTAAGTACAAATCCTCAAAATACTTTCTCATTCAGGGTCAACTCAGACTATTTTATCTCTCAAGTGCATTTTCATAATTTTTTAACCAGATAATTTCGATATTAGCTCTTAACGAAAATAATATAATATAAAGATCCTATGATTAATTGCTTCCTCGAACATTCTTTGATCTTGAAATGATTCCTTAAAAGACTTCTAGTATCTAGCATAAACCCTCTTGGGGTTAAAAACCGGTTATCCATAATTTCCAAGTAAAACTAACATTTCTTATGCACATCAATAGTTTTATCAGATCAATAATTCTTTTCAGATTATTAATCCACTTCCAGGGACAATACTTGTCATTTATTAACATAAGGGTAATTTTGTAATTTTACCTAATCAAAATATTCTCACAATTTATCATCTAAGTACCTTTAATGAGATAAATTATAATCTACATATCCATGGTTAATTCTTTTATCACTTAAATCTACATATCGATGGCTGATTCTTTTATCACTTAATTCCATAACTTGTAATTTAATTTCAACTGTCCTCCAATTTCTTATAATAGTCATTTGAGCCATATTCAATTACTTACTTGCTACCGTATTCATATCAAGTGTAGATCTTCATTAATTACACATATGAGACCAAACATTTCCATTCATGCATTTACCAATACCAACATGTTCTATAAAGCATAAAGAGGTAGTAAAGTATTACCTCGATTTTTGTCAAATACTGATCGACCATAAAATTCCATTTGAACGCCCTCGATCTTGAAATCATCTTCCAATATTTCTTCGGATTCATACCAACAGAAATTACATAAAAACGAAGCTTAATTATGAAAAATGGATCGAATTGGATGATAAATCAGTGAAAAACAACTTACCAGGTTAGAATTTGGTGAAACGGACTTCGGATTCGGATTCAGAACGTCGAAGGAATAAAATATGACTTTTCAAAAATTTGAAATTTTCGGTCAAAGTCAACGGATTTGACTGCAATTTTGAGGCCTTCGGGTCCGAATTTCGAAAAAACGGACTGCGGAATCGGATTTGGAACGTCGAAAAATGTCAGGATATGTATACTCGGTCAAAGTCAAAGGTCGGTCAAAGCCGGTCAAAGTTTTGGTTAATAGTGGTCAACGCTGGTCAACGGGTCGGGTCGGGTTATAACCTGTCAAACCGGTCAAAACAGGAACAAAATCGGTCAAACCGGTCATTTTTTTCTTCACCACGCGCAGTGGCGGCGCGTGGGGGCACGTGAATAGTACCCTGATATCGGAAAATTCCTGGAAAAATTCCTAAAAATTATTTTAAGCGATTTCGAGATACTTACAAAGCTCGGTTCAAATTTTTGAACGGCGGAGAGCTCGATTTCAATGAATCGGAAACTTTGACCGCTTAACCTCCTCACGCGCCGCCGTTGACAGAGACCAAGGATGACATCGGCGGACTCGGAACGATGCAAGGAACACGATAGTGCGGGAGGTGTCGTAAACGGATGTTCGGATCGTCGTGAATCGATGAAAAACCAACTGAAATCGGGTTATTACCGACGATACTTCCGACTGAAATTAACGACGAACGACGATGAATCATGACGAAAGGTTTAAGGGGTTTTGTTCCTCGCTCGACAACGAACATGATGGTGGTTTTGGCTCGTCGATCGGAGGTTGGACGGCGAATAGATCGGAGTTGAAAGTTGGGTCAACGGGAGAGGAAAATTGGAAATCATTCTGCTGAACCTGCACTGCGCACGGGGGTTTATAATTCTCCCAAAAATAAAAATGGTCAAATCATGAGTTTAGCCATTGAACTTATCATGAGTTTAGCCATTGAACTTATCATGAGTTTAGCCATTGAACTTCCTACATTTCTTAAAACGGCCTGTCAACTTTGAAATCTTACAATTTAATCCTCAATTTTCTTCTAAAATACCAATTAAATTCAATACTTTATAATTTCTTAAATTTAGCCCCTAAATTGGAGTGTTACAGCAGGCTCCTTTGTTTTGTTCTCAGGGTAAGTCCTTACCGCAGGTTCTTATGCTATATGTATAAGGCCTTACCAAGTGTACAGGTGGTGTATGGTTCTAGGGAACCTACACATTCTGGTGATCAGATGGGGGTAGTGGTCATTTTTTTAAAACATGTTTGATAAACTATTTTTTACTAAAGTAATTTATTTGTATGTTTTTATACATCGTAAGGAGCGCACTAGACTTTTTAGCTCATTCTGTAAATTTTAACATTTTCATATAGTAGCAGACTGTAAGCTAGCAGACTTGGCATCAGGAGGACCGACTACTCTTATTTTTGTACCATTGTATATATCTATATACATTTTTGTTATACTTTGGTGCCACGTATTTTTGTTACCTTCTCGATATATCTGTATTACTGGTATTTTGTTCTGTATATGGTTTTATTATATATATATATATATATATATATATATATATATATATATATATATATATATATATATATATATATATATGTCTCTGTGCGTGTGTGTGGCATCAGGAGGACCGACTACTCCTATTTTTGTACCACTGTATATCTCTATATGTCTTTTGTTATACTTTGGTGCCACGTGTTTTTGTTACCGTCTCGATATATATGTATTACTGGTATTTTGTTATGTATATGTTTTATACGGTTTTCTTATATATATATGTGTATGTGTGTGTGTTTATCGTATGAACATTTTTTATGACTAATTTCATATTATATTGTTATATGGATTTTAACGTTGTTTTAAATATGAAAATAGTTTCTGAATACGATATATAGCTGTCTAGATTTGGACATAACATCCAAGTCGAGTTTATGAGGTTACAAAAACATGACACAAATACACCATATTCCATATATACAAAAATGATATATATAAAAATAATAATCCTTTTTGGTATATCTCTGGATTATATATGTACACCAAGAATATTATATTATGTTATGTTATCATTTATATATAGATTATTACATTAACATGGTTAATTATAATATTATAACAGTGAATGACGATTTTCATCTATTAAAGTATAATATTAATGCAATTTAAAAAGTTTGAAGATTAGATTTACAGCAATATAAAAGTTCAACGTTGTTGATGCTTTGATCAAAAGTTTGGGTTTCTGCTATTACAATCCCTGTTATGGTGTTGAGGCCCAAAGAGAGTAAAACATGCCCATGCCCATGCCCATGCCCATGCCAATGCCATGAGACTACTGGCCATGGAAAGGGTTTTGCAGACATAATATAAGCTTTGATCTGAATATTCTAAGAAACTGAAATCTTAAATTCTGTCATCCTGTAAGAAATCACACAATAGCATTTGTTAGGTTAAGTTCGGACTTGAAAATGGATAAAAAAAACAACCAAAAAGGAGTCTGGCTCATTTCTTAAACAGACATTTGTGGGTAAAATCAGCCAACTATTAAAGCGGGTTAAAAATTATCGAAATAACGATGGTTGGATTTTATTTTCTCAAGTATAGATTTTTTTACAATACGTCAAAGAGATCATGTCGTCCGACCATCTTCTCTTATGATTATAGGAAATCCCTAATTAAGAATGTAAAATAATCCATCAGAATACACTTGAAAAAAAATTCACTGCCTTATCTGGGCATTTTTGCTGACTTTTGTGTTATAAACTAGGTATATGTCTCTGCCTTCTAGGGTTATGGATGCCTACATGAACATAAAGTCTTTATAATTTAGGCAAGTAATTTAAATTGATTGACAAAGAAGTCCAAATTATGTACACCAAAAAGGGGAAAGCCCTAAATATCTTAGATTCTTGCATGTTTAAGTACTTTAACGAACTTTTGTAAGGCATCGTAGGAACCCATAAAAGAAAACCACTCTGTCTCCTCTTTTTCCCTCTTTCAACTCGAACTGGTTACAGTATCCATTTCAAATTTTCCACCCAAGTTTCTTGCATTGATGATTTCTGAATAACTTGTTGGTTGCCTGTCCTGTTCTTCGAAATCTGGTGGAAAAGTTGAGAAAGAGACGTGAAAAAACAGCCCAAGAACATCGTGCTAAAATTCCACAAAACAGAATAAAACACCCGACAAAGGTAACAATGAGTTCCGACCAAAAGTCACCGGTCACCGAACCAGGCTGCCTTCGCTTCATTTGCAGACAAGTCATCGACATCATCTCGGCTATTTACTCGTCTATGATCAAGCTAAACAAAATTCCCATTCATGATTCGAACGATTGAATGAATTCCATCGCATCAGATTACCATTCCAAGCAAAGACTCCGGAGTTCATGTGGTGCCACAATCTATCAGACTCAAATTTCAAACCCCTTCAAAAATTAAGAGATCCAAATTCCACTACATGATGATATCCAAAACCAAATTCAAAATATTTATATATATATATATATATATATATAAAAACCAATTTCAAGGATTGGTGGAAGTCTAGAACTACAAATTTGACACTAACTAAAAACCCAAATCTAAAAATAGTTTCCAAGTTTCTTGGAATCATCATCCCTTTGTGCTGAGAAAATCAAAGGGAAAAAAATGCTTTGAACTTTTTGATGTTACTTCTTGTTATAGCCATAACCAGATTGGTGAGTGAGTAATACGAATCGAAAGGAAGAAGAAAATCGAACCCATCAAACATTATAAGCAAAGGCCTGAGGCACAAGTTATCTATTCCCCCCTCCACATTGTAAGAAAAATCACCCAACCCACATATTCACGAGCTCAATACAATAACACAAATATTACTGCTCTTTTTTTCTCTTTCTCTTCGGCCTTTGCTTTCGCAAGCTATAACGCCGACCCTTTTCTTTTTCCCCCTTCTCTCTCTTTCTACTCTTTCAAAACAACGAAATTCCCAGAAAGTCTTTCAATCTCGTCACCGTCGTCAATGGGAAAAACAAAGCTTCGATTACGTTTGTAATTCAGGCATTCGTAGGAAATTTTCTGGTTTCGGGTGTTTGACCTTTTTTTTAATTATGTTTTGGGAAATTTAATTCATTGTTATAGTATTATCTTTCCTTCTCTATGCTCTGAAACAGTTTTAGAGTGAGAAAGCTCAATCTGAAACGAATCTCTGTTCCATTACATTCAATCCACCCAACCCAAATTTTTTCTTCTTCTTCTCCGATTTGTCATCGTTCTCTCTTTGGTTCCTCTGTTTGTATCCAGAGAAGGAAAACCCGGAGAAAGTATAAGTGCTGGTCCAATTTCCTTTTTTTTTGGTGGGTAATTGGGTTTGCAATTAGGGTTTATGGGTGTTTTGGGAATTGGGTTTCCACTTTAAGATCGATGTTGATTTGAACTTTTCCCCCACTTTATGTCGATTAGGAGGGATTGATTAATTAGAGCAGATATGATAATTAAGCGCAACCTCAAATCGCAAATGCCGAGTCTGAAACGGTGCAAACTCGGCGATTCAGTAGGTGAAGACGAAGATAACTTGGGTAGAACTCGCAAGAAGCGGAAAATCAATGACTATTATCCTCTGGCTCTTCTCGGGGAGATCGCCACCGGCATAATTCCGTTCGGCCTCCATCATATCATTGCTTCTGAGGCTGAAAAAGGTTTCTCGGCTTCATGGTGCGCCGATCTCTCGTACTCCCCTGATGAAGTTGAATCCAAATCCAAGGGCTTAGATTCATCCAATGCCAAGAACCGTACTGTGGAGATTGCTCGGCCACCACTTGTGAGGACCTCCAGAGGGAGAGTTCAGGTACTTCCTTCGCGATTCAATGATTCTGTAATTGAGAATTGGAAGAAAGAGAGTAAAACTAACTTGCCCGATTGTAGTTTAGATGATGGTGGTGATGATGAGGATTATAATTTTGAATGTAAAAGGGATAAATCTAGTTTTAAGAAACCTAAGAATTGTAAGCAGAACATGAAAAATTGGCGAAGTGAAGAGAAGAATGGTTATAAAGGGAAAAAGTATACTACATTGTGTGAGGAAGGTGAAGGAGAAACAGGGTATGGTAAGACTTTGTTACGTGAGCAATTCATCAAGGAGAATGAGAAGTATGTCAATGGGGTTGACATTGTTGATTCAACAACAGCGAAGCAGGCTTCACTTGAGAACGGTTGGAGGAAAGATGGGTTGTATGGGCCGGAGGACTTTTATGCAGGGGATATAGTGTGGGCAAGGCCAGGGAAGAGGGAGCCATTTTGGCCTGCTATTGTTATCGATCCAATGACTCAAGCGCCTGAGCTGGTTTTGAGGTCTTGTATACCTGAGGCAGCTTGTGTGATGTTCTTCGGACATTCTGGGAATGAGGTCCAAAGGGTATGGTTAATTTCTTTATCGAATTTATGTTTGTGAACTTGTTTGTTGTGCGATGGATTTAGTCATTAATTATGTTACTTTGATTATGGACAGGATTATTCCTGGGTTCGGCGGGGCATGATTTTCCCATTCATGGACTTTCTAGACAGGTGTGTTGTTTGTTTTGTTCAACAGCTAAATGAACTTTCATTCTATAAATGTTATGAGCTTACGTATTCTTCTTTATGTATAGGTTCCACGAGCAGCCAGAATTGCACAGGTGCAAGCCTAGCGATTTCCAGTTGGCAATGGAAGAGGCTTTTCTAGCAGAACAGGGTTTTACGGAGAAGTTGATACAGGATATAAACATCGCAGCTGGAAATACAACTTACGAAGAATCTGTTCTTAGATGGGTTCAGGAGGCTGGTCCAAACCAGGATCATGATTATCACCTTCCTAATCAGGCAAGTTGCTGTAGAATCCACCATATTGTTCACTCCTCTTTTGTTTCTTTGGATACATGTTTATCGAATTTTCAAGTCTTATCCTACCCCCAAATTTACAAGTTGCTGTAGAATCCACCATCTTGTTCACTCGCTAGCTGGGACATAGGTTATTTTACTTTTTGTCCTTGTGGAATCTATTTGTCTTATCTTTACTGTAACCTGAGTTCTCTTTCTTCTTCTGGGGAGGGAGGGCAGGGGATTAGAAAGAATATGAGCCTTCGATGCTTTAGAGAGATTTTGAGCTTTAAATGTTTTGCCTGGATTGTGTACGAGAGCATTTTCCATATCCTTTTTATATGCATATCCAAAATAATTGGAACACAAAGGTTAATGTTCCCGATTTAAATGTATTTGCAGGGCTTCTTTGGGAAATATAAGGACTCAAGACCATGTGAAGGCTGTGGCATGAACCTCCCATTTAAAATGGGAAACAAAATGAAAGCATCTGCTCCTGAAGGCCAATTTTTGTGTAAAACATGTGCTAGGGTCTGTAGCAATGTCTTTTCTGTATCTTAAATTATGATTACAATGTTTTATGTTTTTGTTACTTTTCATAACCACATGCTTTTTTTTATTATTGCAGTTAACTAAATCAAAACACTATTGTGGCATCTGTAAGAGGATTTGGAATCATTCAGATAGTGGAAGTTGGGTGAGGCGACCTAGAAACTTTGGCTTTGATTTGCTTTCTTTCTGCTAAGGTGCACTTTTTTTTCTTACTAATTTATTGCTTCATTATATACACTGAGTCAGGTGCGATGTGACGATTGTAAAGTTTGGGTGCATGCAGAGTGTGACAAAATTCCCAGCCATCATTTTAAGGTCAGTGTCATCTTGTCCATCTCTATTCATTATTTTGTTCTACCTTCTAATGAAGCCAATGATTCAAATTTTGGATTTCCCTGATCAAATCCTATTTGCTTCTCCAGTCTCTGGGGGCCACTGACTATTACTGTCCTACTTGCAAGGCAAAGTTTAACTTTGAATTATCAGATTCAGAGAAGTGGCGGCCAAAAATTAAGTATGTTCTATTCTGAAATTGATATTTTTGTCTGTCAATGTGTATATTATGATTTATCTTGTTTACAAAACATATCTATGTATGAGAAAATTATTCAAGTAATTCTTCTGGCTGATCCTTTATTCTTCACTTCACTGTTTCTAATGCTTGTAAAACGTTTTATGCAGATCAAAAACTAACAACAGTGAACTAGTTTTGCCTAAGAAGGTTACTGTTCTCTGCTGTGGTGTTGAAGGCTTATATTACCCAAGCCTCCACTTGTAAGGAATTTTTTTTATTAGTGAATAAATTTCTTTTTCTTTTTCCAATTGAAACTTCTTAAAACATCTTCACTTCTTCAGTGTTTTTTGACTTCTATGTCTGTTTTCCACATTGTCCAGTGAGCATATAAGTTGGTAGAAATTTATTTTTCCATTCAAGAAAATTTGAGGCTACTTCATGTAAAATTTGCATCTGCTAAATAAGTAACATTGCTGTCTTCTTGCTGGGATTTATCTAAATCTATCTAAAAAAAGAACTTTAATTTTCTCTAAAGACAAATAATCTTAAAGTGCCTTCAGTGAATTATATTTCAGTGGCATAACTTGTCTCATCTGGGAAAAAGAATTTACCTTTCTGTATTTTGACTGAATCTATTCATTATGATTTTGTCTATTCCAGAGTTGTTTGCAAATGCGGGTCCTGTGGGTGTGAGAAGCAAGCAATTAGTGAGTGGGAAAGACACACTGGTTCGAGAGAACGAAATTGGAGGATTAGTGTGAAGGTGAAAGGCTCCTTGCTGCCATTAGAACAATGGGTTTGTACAACTTTTGGACCTTTCTCTTTTCAGTACTATATTTCTTATCTCTGCTCATAGTTTGTCTTTGAATGTAAAAGATAGAGTTATGTTAAAAAAACATGTAGAATATGGCATGCTTTTCTGTTTAAGTGTTTCCCATCTTCCTTTTCCTAATTGATTGACTTTAAGTTGAACTTTAGCATGGAGGGGGAGTATGTGAACCAAGTTCTTAAACCCTTGTATCTGTTTTCCCACTCTTTATATTAGTGAAGGATTCAACTTCTCAGAAGATACGTCATTACTACCTTTTATTATCCATTTTGGCCTTGTTTTGCTTCTAAGGATTTTTTTCACTTGGTTCATGTCTAACCTTGCAGATGCTTCAGTTAGCAGAGTACCATGCAAATGCTACCACCTCTACCAAACCTCCTAAACGACCACCCATACGAGAGAGGAAGCAGAAGTTGATTGTTTTTTTGCAGGGTATTCTTCTAGGCATCAGATTAGCAATTTCATGATTGTGGTTTTCTTTTCTGTTTTTTCCTTTTCCTCCATCACCTTTGGGTTATGCTAATTATCACATTTGTTGTGACAGAAAAATACGAACCAGTTCATGTGAAGTGGACAACCGAACGCTGTGCTGTATGTAGATGGGTCGAAGATTGGGACTACAATAAAATTATTATATGCAATAGGTAACTTTTGCAGTGTTTTCTTTTATGTAAAACTAGATGTTTGTATGGATCTATCATTGGATGCACTTTCATCCACTGTTGTATAAAAGCATTGAGTTTAAGTTGTCTTATTAACTGATACTTTTAAAGTCAACTTCTGGTTTTCAAATAACATTTATCGTTAAGGTAATTAAATTTTAAGTGTATAAGGATCTCTTTTTTTGCCACTTTTATATCTCCTTTGTATGGCCATGAGGGGTCTGCACTAGTTCTTTATTGTCCATTCTTTGCTTCATTGTTGGCAATGAATGTCATTTGATTCAAGAGTTATGAGCATGCTTGATAGGAAAAGCATGATTCCTTTGTTGGTGATTAGACTAGAGAAAATCATATTTTTTTATGATGTTGGTCTTTTTTTTTTTCAATCAGATGTCAAATTGCTGTGCATCAAGAATGTTATGGAGCAAGAAATGTTAGGGATTTCACTTCATGGGTTTGTAAAGCTTGTGAAACACCTGAAATTACACGAGAATGTTGCCTTTGTCCCGTAAAAGGTATAGTCAGTTAATAATCTCTATTTCTTCTTGTGTGGTTAACGCTTGTTCTTTGATCATCTCACTATGGGCCGTATATTTGCAATCTGGAAGTTAGTTTCCACATCTGTAATTATTCAGTTCAGTTTATTTTTTATGGTAACTTACATGGTTTCCCCCCACTTCAGGAGGTGCTTTGAAGCCAACTGATGTTGAGACATTGTGGGTTCATGTTACTTGTGCTTGGTTTCAACCTGAAGTATCTTTTGCAAGTGATGAAAAGATGGAACCTGCTCTTGGAATCTTGAGTATACCATCAAATTCCTTTGTGAAGGTAGAATTGCTGTTTTAGTCATCACTCAATCGTGAAGAGCTCTCCAGTCCTTGTAATCATGAAAATTTTATGATATATCATTTCCTTAACTAAGATTATAAGTAACACTGGATTCATGTTATTTTTGAGTGTCTGAGGCCACTCATCTGCACATCATTTAACAATTCTTGTGGTGGACAATGGCTGCTGCATTGTGAGAAACTCAAGTCTCTCTTGTCATGGAGAAATCATTGTTGATGCTCGATTAAATAGTCACCAGAATGTAACTTGGGGTTTTCCTTTTGGCACAGATATTTAGAAGTTTAACCGATTGAGTCAATAATATTAGTAGCATGTTCTTTAATGAAATGACTAGTTCCTACAATGTTATCTTTGGGATAATAATTCTGCTAAAATATCCAAACTTCTATTTGTATTTGTGCTAATTGTGGTTCTGCTTTGTGTTTTTGGGCCTGAAGATGGCTTTATAGCTGGTTCCTATTGGTTATATTTATGCTTATAATTGTGGCTTGTTTACATGAACTACAGATTTGTGTTATTTGCAAGCAAATTCATGGTTCTTGCACACAGTGCTGTAAGTGTTCAACATATTACCATGCCATGTGTGCTTCAAGAGCAGGTTACCGCATGGAGGTAATTTACTTTTAGCTAATCTTTCTACCTAATGCTTGCATCGCCATTTTGTATAACCAACATAAGATTCTCCCTCTCGGGCATCTACCTTTAATTTCCTTTTAATGATACGACATCATTCAATTAGGTAAATATGAATAGATACTAAATTTTAGAATTTGATACTTAATCAATTCTTTACCTAAATGAGAGTGAAGCATGACTACAGTTTTGAAGAGTGCAGTTGAGCATAGGAAAATGATAGGCTGTGTACCCTATGCTAATGAAGCTCTTTAGTTTATTTGCACCTTTATGGGATACATCCAATCACGTTAGAATTTAGAATGTTATAACATGGCTGGGGAATAACTAATAAACCTCAAGAGAGACTTGGAAATCTTCTAAAATATTATGTGAGTTCCATATATAGGCATGTTAAATGCTCCGCAAAAGTACTATACTAATTTTGGTATACTTTGGATTTTACATGCCAAGGATCATCCAGTTGATCTCTTACTACCACTTAATTGCTTTATCTGTTCTGTTTAAATTGCAGTTGCATTGCTTGGAGAAAAATGGCAGACAAATGACAAAAATGGTGTCATATTGTGCTTATCATCGGTATGCTTTAATTATATCTGCTGTATTTCTCTTTCTGAGTGATTTCATATGTGCTAATCTTCGGTTCTTGTCTTGATTCCTATTTCAATTTTGTGCAGCGCTCCAAATCCAGACACTGTTTTAATCATACAAACCCCTCTAGGGGTCTTCTCTGCCAAAACCCTTGGTCAAAAGAAGAAGAAGAGTGGGTCAAGGCTAATTTCATCAAGCAGACTGAAAATTGAAGAGGCTCCAACTGTGGAAACTACCGAGGTTGAGCCATTTTCTGCTGCTAGGTGCCGGGTCTTCAAAAGATCAAACAATAATAGAAAGGTAAGCTTACATGAAAGTCTCAAATGTTCGCACATATTCTGTCAGGGTATAAATTCATTCCTGGTATAAGTTTTTGCCAGATGTTTCTTGGCTCCTTTTCCTTTTCCCAGTGAGATGAGCTGAAAATCTGTTGGTTTATGAGTTAAAAACTTTAAAGCTGCATTCTGATTTTAATGTAAAGGGGAAGGGGGAAGGAAAGAAGAGCATCGGATTTGGCTTCCTTTCCTTGTCAATTCTTTTCCTTCATGTTGCTTTATCTTTTCTTTTCTGAATCACGAGAAAACGATTTAAGCCTCTGTCTCTCCAATTTATTTAGTCTCAGTAATATTTTGTTTCTTTACCTAGAGAACTGAAGATGAAGCCATGCCCCACCGGTTAATAAGACCTTGCCATCATCCTTTAAGCACTATACAGAGTCTGAATGCATTCAGAGTAAATTACTCTCCTTTCTACAATCTATGGTTTTGTTCACGTTCCCCCCCCCCCTTTTCTGAATTTGAATTCCAATAGAAAGAAATCCTTTTTTGTTTTTTTGCATCCATGATTGATTTTGTTCAATCTAAACAGATAGTAGAGGAGCCTAAAGATTTTTCATCTTTCAAAGAACGACTCCAGCACTTACAGGCAAATCTCCATCCTTTTTCCCTTTTGAGAACTTAATTTTCTTATCAGTTTGCTAAACGATATATACGTACATAACAAATGCAGAGAACCGAACATGACCGAGTTTGCTTTGGTAGATCTGGAATACATGGGTGGGGCCTCTTTGCCCGAAAAAACATTCAAGAAGGAGATATGGTATTATTTTTGTTTAACTTTAAGTTCTTTCGGGTTTAGAATACTATTTTCTCGAATTACACCTTGAACAGGAATGTTGGACGAACTTGGTATATGGCATGGACACTTTGCAAACTTTGTTTTTCTGAATGATTGGAATATCAACTTTTTCTGATTCACCGACAACTCGAATAAGTTTTTACATGGGGTGAGAAGCTTTTGTTCGTCTTCAGGTTCTTGAATACCGCGGGGAACAAGTGAGGGGAAGTATTGCTGATCTAAGAGAAGCACGCTACCGATTAGAAGGAAAAGACTGTTATGTAAGTGATTTATTTCCTTTAAGTCATTTAAATTTGCCAATGTTTAGATTGATCAGAACTGTTCAAGCCATTGTATTTTGAAGCATTTGAAAGTGCCACTTCTTTCAGTCCTTGCATGTTCCATTTCGTTCCCTCTCTCTCCCTCTATTCTTTATCTTTTTGCATACATGATTTTCTCGAGTTGAGACTGAAATGCGGTAGCAACATATTATGGCTGCAGCTGTTCAAGATCAGTGAAGAAGTCGTGGTGGATGCCACCGACAAAGGGAACATAGCGCGCTTAATCAATCATTCGGTAAGCAAGCATCTTGTTGCGAGAGAAATTATGATGGGACTCACCGGGTTGAATATCTCTTATAATTGATGTTTTGTTCTTGGTCTCATGCAGTGCATGCCCAACTGTTATGCGAGGATTATGAGCGTCGCGGATGATGAGAGTAGGATTGTTCTTATTGCCAAGACTAACGTGGCTGCTGGAGATGAGCTAACGTACTTATCTCTCTCTCTCTCTCTCGTTGCCTCTCCATCTCTCTTGCTCTCTGTTAGTGATTGTTGGTTAATTTCGTAATGCTTTGTTTTGATGATCGGTTGCCAGGTACGATTACTTGTTTGATCCCGATGAGCCAGATGAATTCAAAGTTCCGTGTTTATGTAAAGCTCCAAATTGTCGGCAATTCATGAATTAGGAATTATACAAAAGAGCATAGCCATTGCTTCTCTGCAAGGACGGTGACCAACCCAATTGCCCTATGCAAGAGGTGGAATCTCATAGTCGATCTATACACCCTGATTTGTATTTTTTCCCCAGAAAAGAAATGAAAATGCATCTTCCCTCCCTTTTCTTCTTTTACGACAAATTTGATGGTTAATAAAATGATTAGGATTTCCCAGTTGCTCTTGGAGCATTCGTGTATATCTGTTAACAATCACCGTTCGTGATCTTACTTGAATGCTGACCCATTCTGTCTAAACATATTTAAACACTTCGGATTTAACAAAAGTCAAGCAAGTACTATCTATTAGAATTTAATTTTTAGAGTAGTTAAGCAAAGAGAATAACTGTCTGATATTTTTAAAATATATAGTCTAAATTTCAAAGGTCAAAAATTAAGAAGACCGAAAGCAAAATTAGACCGAAACAAAATTAATAAAGTCAAACAAAAGCCAAAATCATACGGGAGAATATTGGATAAGCGACATATGTCAACCAATCACAAGCAAAGAAACAGGAGAACTGAGAAAGGATGACGTGGCGAGCAGCAAGATCGAGAACCGGAAATAATGTAAAACAATTTAGGGTAAAATATACTAGAGGACATTGAACTATGTAAAAAAATCTCTCTAGTTAGTAACCTTTCAAATATTATAAAATAATCATTAAACTTCCTAAATAATTACAAAAATAATCCCTGTAACGTTAAAATAGATATAAATGTTTATAATTTTAAAAATAATTTTAAAAATAATTTTATAATATATAGATGAGTTTAAAGATCATATTATTTTAGTTTGATAAATGATAATGGCTATCTTATAATATTTAAAAGATTACTTATTAATAAGATCATTTTTACATAGTTTACTGGTCTATAATGTTTTTTACCCAAAGAATAACCTGATAGAAAAGACAAACAAAAAAGGGAGTACGAAGACGGCAAGGAAGGCGTAGATATTTGGTGACATGAGCAGAACTCATAGTGTAATACCCAAATTTTGTCTAGGGACCAAAATTGTAATATTACCCATTTGTAATTTGGTGTGGCTATAAAAGCCAATCAAAATGGGACTCCGTTTTTTATAAACCAGAATGAAAGCAAATAGAAAACCAGAGAGAACACTGTGCGACTCTCTCTCCTTCACGTTTATATATATATATTTTTTTATTTTTTTAATTCCATTTCTCTTGCTGTGTAGGGTTCTCGTCGGGGAAAATCACCTTTAAGCCCCTGTATTTTAGTTTTTTTACACTCTGATCGCTTATTTTTATTTATTTTGAATATGCATGTGATTTTATTAACTTTTAAATTGGTCACTATTCTGCTATGTTATTTATTTCAAGTTAACTACTAACTTTTATTTTATTGCATATTAACCACTAACTTTTATTTTATTGCATTCTTTTTATTTATTTATTTATTGTTTCTAATATTCAATTCAACCTTGTGGTGACCCAATCCGGGGTATGATCCACATTATTATGATTCGGACTCTGCTAATTACTGAATTTTATTTTATTGCACTCTAACCATTGTTTATTTATTTATTTATTTATTGTTTCTAATATTCGATTCTACCTTGGGGTGACCCAACCCAGGGTATGTTCCACATTATTGTGGTTCAGACTCTGCTAACAATTTTATTTATTTTATGTTATTTTATTTGTATATATTTTGAATTATTCGATTCGACCTTGTGGTGACCCGATCCGAGATAAGACCCAAATTATTATGGTTCGGACTTTGCTTACCTCTAACTTTTCTAACAACTAACCTTTCTAACTGCTAATTAATAATTGCTAACCTTTTGTTTATTTATTTGTTTTATTTTATGTTCAAACCATGTACGACCTTCCAACGACCCGCCCCGGGGTATGACTCGTATTATTTACGGTACGGGATAAATAATAAAATTTGATACTAACATTTTTTATTGCATTTTATTTCTATTATTTAACTTTATGCACTTTTAAATTTATGTCTTTTTATTTTCTTTGTTTAATTTCAATCTTTACGTTTTACTTGCTTTAATATTCTAATCATTTATTTTGTCTCTTTATTTTTCAGTACTTTAATTTTATTCCTTTGATTATTGTGTTTTATTGTTTGTTTATTTTACTTTTATAATTTAATTTTTGCATAGTTAGATTTTGTTTCCTTACATTTTTATCATGTATGGATATTGTATATTTGTCTGTATTAGTTATGTATGTATATATTATTTTCTCTTTGGAATTGGTTTTGAATGATTGTACAAAATGTTTGTTTCATTCATTTTTAATGCCTTTTTACTCGAATATTTTCAAGAACACTTATTTGTAGAATGGGCGTGGAAAGCACTGTTTGGTCGAAGTAGTGAGATCCGATACGACATTCGAATGAAATGTGAACTTGAAATAAATCGAAGTTATTTTTTAAAGTGCTAATTAATTCGTTTTTATTCAAATGACACAATTCCTATTTTTTTAATAATTTATTTTATGCAATTACCGATAGTCAATTTATATTCGATTTGTGTTTTTGACAACACTGAGGAGGGGACATTTCTCGTGTAAAGGAGAAATAAATGGAATAGCCTTCCCATTAGAGGATGTGCAAATCCCGTTATTTTTTTCTCAAATTAAGGAATGTTTCCTAATAATTAATTCGAAGCAAATTAATTAAACTTCAATAAATGGATCATATTCTAACTTTATATTCGATTTATAATTTCCACTACCGTGATAATATATAAACGACTAAGAACCATTTTGGGCGCTGTGGCGGTGCTAATCCTTCCCCACTCGTAATGGACTCCCGAACCCGTTAAATTTGATTTTTGGTAAACGTAAACCAATTTTTGTCTTTTAAATTATTTTTTTGAATTCTTTAAAAGACGTTTTTAGGTATTCGACCTACCTAGCCCAAAGATCGATGGTGACTCCCATTCGATTTAATTCAAATTAATTCAAAATCGTCAATTTTTCAAATAAAGTCATAATTGTTTTTTTAAACTTAATTGTTTTTAAAAAATGGTTATGACAGCTTGGCGACTCTACTAGGGACTTTTTTTAAAGAGTCGGACTGTAAGTCGCTTACACATTTTCGTAGTGGTGAAAATTATAAGTTTGAGTCTATAATTAGCTTATGATCTATTTATTGAAGTTTTTCTAATTTCTTTTTTAAATTGTCATACTAATGCTTTAATTCATGTTTTCAGTTGTCTTAAAGTTTCCGCCAAGACTTTTCCGTTTGTTTTTTAGTCAAAGGTTTGTATGTTCCTCCTCACGCACATCACGTGCATTTGCATGATATAAGCTCTAGACCCGAGCTTCATTCCAAGTAAGTAGGGGTGAATGTTTGACTCTCGTAAGAATTTATTATTCGCATGAGTTTTAGCAAATAATCCCTGGGATACACATGCCTTATACCTTCGTAGGGATTTATTCCTCGTATGGGTATAAGGAAGCGAATCTCCTTGAATTGAACTCGATCCGTTTACGCCTATAATGGGTTAGGAATGAGGGTTTGATAAGGGGGCACCGACATCAAGGACAATTCGAGTACATTTTCCTCATAGTGCCGAAACCATGCAAATAGTGAACCGTAGAATGCTCACCCTAGGTATAGTCATACTGAACCTCTGTCATTCAGTAAGTGCCAAAATAGGTGTACACGAAGGAGGAACGACTCTAAACCTTTACCTTTTACTTTAAGTTCGTAGAATATATATATATTTTTGAATAAAGGCATGCGAACTAGATATCATGCAGTTATGATCAATTTCTTGCAAATAAATAATTTTAGGTAGAAAGCATGTCCGGGTAGGATTATTATCTAATGAAAGCATGATCGGGTATATGTTATATTTAAATAACATCTTTTAATTCTATCGACTATTTTACATGTACTAACTCATTTCTTTTCTTTTTGGTGTCATTTTTCATCTTGTTTTTGCATTGCATCGTCATGACATAATGTGAAAGTGTTGATCCGCAAGGGGATATTCAAGTGAAAATTTTCACAAAGAGAGATAAAAGTTTTTTAATCAAGCAGTCACGTACACAAACATGCACCGAGGGCTAAAAGAAGTTCAGAGAGTAGAAGAATGAGACTTACTTGAAGATCGTGCAACATTCGAGACTGGAAAGATGATGCATTGATCCGAGGAGTAATCCAACAGTAGAGTCTTATCTACGATCATTTCATCGCTAGTCATCAAGGAGTGATGTGTGACTTCAGCACCGCACAGGGAATTAATAGAGTTAGATTACAGAGCGCTTGAGGGGCATCATTTTCAAGGATGAAGATCTGATACGAAGCACCGAGCCATTTCAGACTCGGCATCTAAGCGAAAGTATATCTGTAAAATGGAATATATTTTAATGTGAAGCCTTTTATCTCTGATGAAAATTATTCTATGATATTCATGTTGTGATCAATACTTTTTTGCATCTGCATTTTGCATATTTATATTCTGCACTGTATTTATTTAAACATTTTCACATGTATCATTCATGAACACATGAGGATTAATTCATGAAGAATTCGATTGAAGTGGTCCTGATCATGTGACACCACATTAAGAATAGAAGCAAGATTCGAACAATTAAAGGAAGAAGCTAAAATCAGTATAGTGGGAGCCTATTCAGTTGTTCGTAGGACTGAGCCTTATAGGAAGTTCCGAGAAAGATAGTCAATTTGATCCAATTCTAATGACATATAAGGAATTACTTCCAACGCTGTTTGAGAAAAATCTTGTGACTTCTGTCCAAGCCAAAAGAGTCCCCATATCCTGAGGGCTACGATGTTGATGCCATATGCATCTATCACATAGGAAGTTCAGGGCATCCCAATAAGAATGGTGGGGCATTGAAACTAAAGGTCCAAAATATGATTGATTTAGGGCATGGACAGTCGAAGAATGATGGGGCATTTTAATGATAATCAAGAAGAGATCTTTGCACATACCATGCATCTTTCTTGCAATTGCATTAAGAGTATCATTTTGTTTGAACTCGTTTTTGTTCTGTCTTTAATATTTGCTTAAATATTTTTAATATTTTAATGATTGAATTTATGCTACATTCTAAGGTTGAATAATTGAACAAGTTTTAATCTTGTAGTTCTTTGAATATCGAATGAATTACAAATTCTTTTTGTAACATCCTCAATACCGGGTTAGTGACTAAATTGTAAAATTTTAGAATTTGGTGATTAAAGTG